CTCTTCCGGGTCCCTCTCGCGGCGTTCCCCGGTCTGGCGGCGGCGTTCCCGGTCTGGCGGCAGCGTTCCCCCGGCCTGGCGGGCGGCGGCGTGCGTTCCCCCGGCTGGCAGCGGCGTTCCCCCGGTCTGGCCTGTCCTTTCTTTCTCCAAACCTATTCAAATTTTATTCTGAGCTTGTTTGAGAAGGTGGACTCTCTGAAGAAGAACGTGGCATCAAATAATAGGAAGGAAGACTCATCAATAAACTGTATTATGCAGATGATAACTTTCCTTGCTGAAAATGAGAAGGACTTAAAGCACTTCTTGAAGAAGATCAAAGTCTATAGCCTTTAATATGGATTGCATGTCAATGTCAAGAAAATAAAACTTCTCACCACTGGACTAATATAACATCATGATAGATGGAGAAAAGACTAAAGTTGCCAACTACTTCATCTTACTTGGATTCACAATCAACACACGTGGTACCAGAAGTAGGAAATCAGGAGATGTATTGCACTGGGCAAGTCTGCAGTCAGGAACCTCTACAAATTATTGAGGAACAATTGTGTCAGTTTGAGGACGAATGTGTACCTGATCCAGGCCATGGTCTTTTCAATCACTTGCTATGCATCTGAGAGCTGGACAGTGAATATGAATGGCAGAAGAAGAATTGATGCTTTTGAGCTGCTGGTGTTGGAGAAGAGTCCTGAATAACCCACGGACTACCAAAAGAACAAACAGATTTGTCTTGGAGAAGATGCAGCCTTCTTGCCTCCTTGAAGGCAAAGATGATAAAGCTTTGTCTCAAATACTTTGTGCATAGGAGAGTGTATTCCTTGGAGAGGGACATCAGGCTTAGAAAAGTGGAAGGTCAGGGAAAGAGAGGAAGACCTTTACCCAGACAGATTGACTCAGTAACTGCAGCAGTGGGCTTGAGCATGTCAGAGATTCTGAGGATAGCACAGGATAGGACAAAGTTCAGATCTTTGTTTATAGGGTCACTAGGCCTTGTACTCTATAGCAACTAACCACAACAACACTGGGCATCTGCTATTAGTCAAGGCTCAGGAGTCAACGGAAAACAAAATACATGTAATTCTTGTCTCAGTTAAGTTTACAAAGGATACATATGAGCTGTAGGCAACTAGATGGCAACACCTCCAAGACACTACCTCAATAGTGGAATTATGAAGGTTAATACACCAAATCCTGGTTTTGGGGGAATAAAAAAAGATACACCTATGTTTTTATTCTATATTTTGCCCATACTGACATGAAGGGTCAGTCCTTAAGTAGAGGAGTCAGTGAAAGAGAGAGACCTTCAATGAGAGACTGACACAGTGGCTGGTACAATGCGCTCACACACGGCAGCAACTGTAAGGAAAAGAATGGGTGTTCTTCTGTTGTACATGCCATTGAGTCAGAGTTGAATGGATGACACCTAACAACTTTATAAGACACTGCAAACTATCAAAATATATATGCCTGGTAATTAACAGTTTCTTTCAAAAATGCTTGGTAATTGAAATAATATTGGTGTGCAGAACATAGTAGAAAACAACAACAACAAAAAAACTCGTGTACTTAACATGTGTTAGGGTACATTTTCACCAAAGAACCCTGGTAGTGTTCATAGCGCTATTTACCATTGCAAGAACATAACAGCCAAGTGTCCAATCCACAAATGGATTAAGAAATTGTGGTACATTCACACAATGGAATATTATCCAGCACTCAGGAGCAATGATCTTGAAAGATACTACATAATTTGGGAGAGACTGGAGAGCATTATGCTGAGTGAACTAACTCAGTCTCATAAAGGACAAATACTGCATAATACCATTATTGTAAAAATAGAAGGATAACTAGGAAAACATGTATGGAGACCTAAAAGAGGGGGAGCAAAGAGGTGGGGATAGTTAGGGGCAACATCATAGGGTTTGACAATTTGGTGGGTGGAGGGAGAAGGTAAAGGAAATGGGAAAGATCTTGTGGGGGCCTGAAAAGACAGGTAATGATGAGCATCGTCCAATGGTGATTACTTTTATAAAACATAATGAATGGGAATGATTGTATGAAACACAATGTGAGTGAAGACCAGAGTGTTAGGCTGCGTGAACTACCTCAGTCTCATAAAGACAAATATTGCAGAAGACCATTATTATAAAAATAGAAGGATAACTAGTAAAACATATACGGGGACCCAAGTGGTGAAGGAGTGGAAGCAGAGGGATGAAGATGGGTAGGGGTGAAACCACAGGGTTGCACAGGTTGGTGGAGGGAGGGAGGGGGTGAAGGAAATGGGAAGAGCCAGCAGGGATCTGAAAAGGTAGGATAATGATGGGCAAGGTCCAATGGTGATTAATTTTATAGAACATAATGAATGGAAATGATTGTATGAAACACAATGTGAATGAAGAATAGTGTGAAACACAATGTATATTAATTTTTCCAACAAACCAATATAAAAGAAAAATGAAAAACCATCTAAACAAAAATTTCCTGGTGTTGTGTCTTTGGAAAAGGGTTACAAGGCAAGAACTTGGCTTTAGGTCTTAGGCACCCATCATTCTATAGAGTAGAATCGCTTTGGGATAGAGACTTTCCTAAGAGTGTCATCGTTCCTTCACAGACATTTGGAGTTTTTGGTGAGTTTGGATGTTGGCTGTTGGGGGACACTGAGCCGTCCCAGATCACAATAGGCAGTAATTAATTTATTCCTAGTCTGTTTGACCTTCCCAAGATGGCCTCAAACCCTTCACTACAGTCATCACGCTCACGCTATGACTTCCTCTATGGCTTCCACTTCCGGCCTAAAGACCCAACTTCTTGATGATGTGACGGAACACATGCCATGTTAGTAAAACGTGCCACATTAGTAAGAATTTGACGAGATCTGTTACAGAGACATAAAGTGGATATTAATTTCACCTATTTAAGATTTCCCCATCATTTGACGCCGGTAGTTTCTCTGTTGGTGACTAGAGAGCAGGGTTTTTGAGCAGGCGCGCGCCGCGGGCAGCCTCGACTTCGGGCGGTCTTCGCCGCCTAACGAAGGACCGCGAGTCGCTGGAGGTTCAAGATGGCGACGGCGGCCGCATCCTCCGCTTCGGAGCCGGAGGCAGAGGCCAAGATTGGGCCACAGATTGGGCCGAAGGCTGAAGGACAGGAGGATGAGGCTAAGGATAGTAGGACAAGGAGGAAGGTGTTGTCACGGGCTGTGGCTGCCGCGACGTACAAGGCGGTGGGCTCAGGGTGGGATCCGCCGGAGGAAGGCGTGAGTGAGAGCGATGGAGACGAGGAGTACGTCATGGCTTCCTCTGCGGAGAGCTCCCCGGGAGAGTACGAGTGGGATTACGACGAAGAGGAGGAGAAAAACCAGCTGGAGATTGAGCGGCTGGAGGAGCAGGTGGGCAGCGGGCTGCTTCCCCCCGCCCGGAGACCCCGGCTCGCCCCTCCACCCACCCAGCCTGGATGCTTCCCCCACACCGTTATTGACCAGTATCGTTTCTGCTAGTTGAGCCCCTGACTGCCTGTCCAGCCTGTTGCCAGCGTTAGACTCTCCCCAGCGACCCAGTGAAGGGGGATGGAGTGTTTAGGGGGGCTCGTGGGGAGAGGGGTCCGCTCCTCCCAGTTAGCGAGTCAGACACTGACCCACACGGTTAAACTGCACCCAGCAGCGAAACGACGACGTATTTGCAACGCAGCATTGTTTATTTTGCTGTAGGAGTGACGGTATTGCACTGTGATGCACGTGGAAAGTTACTAACATGATAAAGATCGTAACACAGAAGCGACCCCTTGAGGGGTTCACAGGTGTTGGGGGGCTTCTCCTGGGGTGCCTGTCCTAAAACCCTCCGACCCTCCGTCCGGTCACCTGTCAATGAAGAGCACCAGTGCCTGTTTTGGATAATGGACAGCACTGATAGCCCCGTGCCTGACAGTCGGCAGGAAGGTGACTCTAAGTCCTCTTATTTTTTGACAAGTTGTGAAATAAGTGATGTCCGCTGCTGGGCCACTTGTTCCCCTTGGCACCCGACAAATGATGGTGACCTGAAGGATTGGAGGCTTGTAACTGTTACTTTCTTTTGCCGTGAGGTCAGGAAATGAACCTTTCTGATCCAACCAGGTGGAGTGACATGGTGACTGCCTCAGTGGGCTCTTGTGTGTCAGGAAGTGTGCGGATGGTGCAGGACAGACAGGGTTCAGATCTTTTGTTCATAGGGTCGCTATGAGTTGTACTTGAAGACACCTAACAACAACAGTAATCCTTCCAGTGCCTTTGCCTGGCAGTGTCTGCTGCCATGGGCTTAGATGTGCCCTGGATGATGAGGCTGGCCCAGGATAGGACAGGGTTCAAATCTGTTGTTCGTGGGTTCGCTGCGACTCAGACGGGACTCAACAACACCTAACAGTTCAGACTTCCTTTCTATCTCCTAATCACAGCATGTAGATCTTGCTGGAACTGCCAGTTGCAATGGATCATAACAATAAGTAACTGGCCCTGCCATATTTACTAGTTCCACATGTCCACGTGTGTTGTATTTCCTCCCTATTGCTTATTTTAAGACTCTTCTTTTTCTGGTTTCTTAAACTAGTGACCTTACTGAGCCCTTTCCTTGTGTCACCAATGCATTGCCATCCAGCCAGAACTGACTCATGCAGTTGACCCTGCGGTGGGTTGTCAGAGGCTGTAGAGGGCGTGGGAGGACATTACCTGTCTGTCTCCCACAGCAGCTGGGAGAACTCTCTGTCTTTGGGTTGGCTGTGTAAACCAAAATTGAACAAATTCTGTATCCTCACTGCTTTAAAGAAGAGGTACCCAAAGTCCCAGTGGACCCTTAATCAGAGTCCCAACTCCCAGTTCCTAACTGCTTTAACTAAGAGACTTCAGAAGCCGCAAGGGACTGTTCATCAAAATGGCCCAACTTTCCACTTTCTAACTGCTTTAAGTAAGAGACCTTACCGGCTGGACCACCAGATTTCCCTTCATGAGTATGAGTTCTACACATTTTCCACTCAACCTTGCTTTAGCTGCAGCCCACCTGTACTAATGTAATGCATTTTAATTTCAGTTCAGTCCCATGTATATTTAGGAATTTTTCTTGCTATGTCCTGTTTCACAATAACACTGTCTACCTACCTATATATATGCTCAATATAGTTTAGAGCTGTAATCTTACTTTAGAGATTTTTCTTATTATCTTTTTCGCATATCCTGAGAAACTCTGATTTTCACTTTTAGGTTTTTTAAAATTTCTGTTTCTTTCTTGGTGAATAGTCCTTGGACACTGGAGAAAAATGTGTGGTGGTGGTTGCTGTGTACTGTCAAGTTGGAGCTGACCCCCAGCTGACGTTCCAGCAAATTTTCAGAGGCGGTTAATCGCACAGGAGGAGATTGCCCATTTTTCTCCCACAGAGCAGCTGGTGGATTCGAATCTTGTGCCTTTGTTTTGAGAGCACAGCTTCTTAACATTGGACCAGCACAGCTGGGGAGGAGTGTTGAGTGGAGTGTTCTAGAAATGTCAGATCCTGCTGACTGATGGTGTTGTTGAGTTCTTCTGTATGCTGTTTTTCTTTATAGTAGTTTTAGCAGGAGACCCTGAGGGGTGCAAATGGTTAATGTGAGTGGCTGCTAAAGAAAAGGTTGGAGGTCTGAGGGGCCTTGGACCTTGTGGTCTGCTGCCAAAAAATGAGTCACTGCAAAGGCTAAGGCAGATCGTTCTGCTCTGACACACAAGAGGTCCCCAGGAGGATTGATCATGCCACCTGGGGTGTCAGTTGCTGAGAGAATGTTGAAGTCCTCACATATTATGAGGGAGTCTTATGTCAGCTCTGTCAAGTTTTGCTTCATGTGCTTTGGAGACTGTTGTGTAGCATTGCTGGTGGCTTGTTTTGTTGTTGATGGTAGTGGTGCATGCACTACTTGGGATCATTAGGGGGGTTTTTTGGTGGCTTACTCCTTTTATATAATTTAATGCTTCTTTTTTTGCCTCTTGTAAGCTTCTTTATTCCATAATTTATTTCCTGCCCCCATAGTTTATATTTTATAATGTTGGTATAGATTATATAGTTGTTGTATGCTTTGGAAAAACTATGGGATGGTGCTTTCTTGTCCTCTGTGTCAGAATTGACTTGAAGGCAATGGATTTGATTGTTTGGTTTTGGTATGGTTTGGTTTTGCTTTCTTGTCCTTTGTGTCAGAATTGAAGGCAATGGATTTGATTGTTTGGTTTTGGTATATCTTTAGGTGATCCCCTGGTGCTATGGTTAAACATTATGTTGCTAACCAGAAAGTTACCAACCAGCTTTCTGCACGGGAGATTGACAGTCTTGCAGACACTGTTGGACAGTTCATTACTGCAAGTCCTTGGAGAAAGCTGTCATACTGGAGAAAGTGGAGGGTCAGCAAAAGAGAGGAACATCCTCAGTGAGATGGACTGACAAGATTGACTGCAGCAGTGGGCTTGAGTGAGGTGGAGAGCGTGAGGATGGCGCGGAATAGGGCTGTGTTTCCATCTGTTCGTGGGGCTTCTGTGAGTCATGATCATTTGACAGCACCTAACAGCGTCAGTCAAAACTGACGTGAGTGCATTGAGATTTCTTCCTGGGGTATGACAGTTTATTATAAAAAAAGTCCTTTCTTCAAATCCACCAGATGCTACACTGGAGGAGTGGCAGTCTCCTGTGCCAGTTGCATCAGATTTTGATGGCACCCAACAACAACTATCTTTTCTTTCAGGATTTTGTCTTCCTGTTTCTAAGGCTTATTGATGCATTGCTCTTCCAGTGGCTCTTCCAGGTTATATAGGTGCTGGTGGAAGATCTATGCATTGTCATTCAGTGGTGAGAGAAGCTTGTTATTTTGTTGATGACCTTTTTAGATTTTAACTTGTGGGTTTTTTCCTTGCAGCTATCAATCAACGTGTATGACTACAACTGCCATGTGGATCTGATCAGGCTGCTCCGGCTGGAAGGGGAACTCACCAAAGTGAGGCTGGCTCGCCAGAAGATGAGTGAGATCTTCCCCCTGACTGAAGGTAGTGCCCACGTGCGCAACAGAGAGGGGGCTGTAAATGCTGCAGTCTGGTTCTAAAATTGTGAATAATCTCGTAGAGTGGAAAGCAGAAAACCGATTATTATTCAGTCGGCTCCTTTTAGCATATCATCCTGTTTCTGTGTAGTTGTAATCATACTGTGCAATTCACATTGCGAATCCTGACTTAGTTATGCATTATAACAGACATTTTTGCATGTTTTGCTATTCTGTTTTTCTATCTGTACTCCTTATTTCCATATTTGTTGATTCACCCAATTTCTCAGATCCCCAGTTATTATGGCTAATAACTTGTAACTATGTTTTTAAGTGGTTTTTAACTTGAATATTTGGCGCCTCAGTTTCTCTGTAATAGTTGGAGACTTAGGTTGAGTTTTCTTAGTTGTATGTTAGAAATAGTTGGCAACTGAGCATCCTGGTAGTTAACATCTTCTTAACAATTTGGAACCAATCGTTTGGGCAGGAGTCAAAAAATCTGGGTCTCTGGTTCATTTCTGCTGGCTCCTTGCCTCCCCTTGAAGGTGTAATTGCTAACAATACACAAATCCAATTGCTTGGTTCATTTGTGCCTACATCACTTACTTACTCTTTGACCTTTAGGAACTTATGTTGACATCCTCAGAGAGGGCTTTCTTAGTAGTACATTGAAAACAATGATAGTTCATGTCACTCATTGTGCGGGTTAGACACACCATACTGTAAACAGCATTGTAGCATGTTCCTGGCATGATGTAATGCCTAGATAGATGCCCTTGTCATTGGTGTTACTAATACCTGTCTTAGAGCAGTGTGCGTAAGGTGCAGTGAGGAAGAAATCTGCACGTACTTGGGAAGATATAAAATGCTCATCAAGTATAAGATAGGATTTTAGTGAGTAGGTATCATTTAGAACACAAAACTTTCAGTGTGCCTGGGCCAGGTATTAAAAACGGAGTTACCATGAACTGTACCAGGTATGTGCAATGTACGAGATGCTTAGGCCCCATCATGTTTATTTCTCCCATCCTCTTTGGAGGGCATGGTGGTAACAGGTGTCTCTTGTCTCATAGAGCTCTGGCTGGAGTGGCTGCATGATGAGATCAGCATGGCCCTGGATGGCCTGGACAGGGAGCACGTGTACGAGCTCTTTGAGAAGGCTGTCAAGGATTACATTTGTAAGTCGTCTTCAGGTTCATCAGCTCTGCCCAGTGCTGGTCTCTGCTGCCCTGTGTGACGTTACTACGTAGAAAATAGTGCTTACTATTAAACTAGTCCCCAGAAAGTTTTGAGTTTGCATATTTTTGTCATTGTCTCCAGTGTGGTTTTTGGTTAAAAATGGAAATGAAAAGAAGTATTTGTGGTAATGGAATGATTATAATTCTGCCCAGCTTTTATCTGTTGAAGGGAAGTTTCCCAATATTCCTGAGTGATTTACAGTTATTTTTTACACATTGAATGGTACTTGACGGTTTTTTCCTCCAATGAAAGTTTACAAATAGTTTATTTTTCAGTCATTCATAGACATTAATAATTAAGGAATTAAGCTGCCAATCCAAAGGCATGCAGTTCCAATTTGCTAGCTGTTCTGACTTGATGGTACCTAACACCACCAGCGAATAAAACCTTGCTGTATGTTGTCTTCTACTTGACCCAACTTTGTTTTAGTAGAAAAGAACTTTTTTTAAAAAAAATATACAGGAATAGTTTTCTGTTTGAAGTAATTACGGATTAATTGTTGTTGTTGAGTCAGACACCAGCCATTGCTGACCTTCCAGTGGGTTTCAGAGGCAATAAATTGCTTGAGAGAACATTGCCCACCTTTTTCCCATAGAGCACTTGGTGGATTTGTACCATGTACCTTTTGCATTGGCAGTGCAGTTCCTTACCACTAAACCACCAGAATTCCCTACAGATGTGTAAGACGTAAAAACAGTCCAGGGCAGTCCTGTGGGCTCTCTTCTCCAGCTTCCCCTGGAGCTGGAGTTAGCTCTAGCAGTTCGCTTGTTTCTGTTTGTATTTATTTGCAACCCCAGTGGCAGCTCTGGACTGATGAGCAAAAACAGTGGCCAGCAAATTTTGACTAAATTAAGATTGGTTTTTTGCTGATGAAAAGCAAGCCTCAGGGAAACATGTAGCTCCCCAATTGGCTACTTGATCTTCTTACTGTCTTTAAAAGGATAGTTATATAGACTTCTGAAAGTATTTTTCTATCCTTCTGAAGATCTTAATATATAGAAATTTTACTTTAATAAGACTCAGAGAATTCACGAAGTGTTTTTAATTCTTTAGTCTGACAGGCACAAAATAGGTGTCTTTTTTTCTTGAAAAGAACAAGGCCACAGAGGTATTTTAGTATTTTGGTTAAGTGTAATTAAAAAAAAATTCCATATTTAAAATTCAGATTGCTAATAACAGAATTGATGAAGCTTTTAGTTTTGTTTTTTCATGTTCATTAGGAGACTTAAATCTTAAGATTCAGAAGTTGAAAAATTCTAGGCTTTGTAATTATTCTTAGAGTTAACCCAGATTTGTAACTAATTGCATAGAAATCCATTACTGGATTCCATCAGTTTTCATACAGAAACTTTATGTGCATGGTTCGTAGGAGTGACTGTGTCATATACTGCTATGGAGCCCTAGTGGCACAACCATTAAGTGTTGGCTGTTAGTGGCTTGAACCCACCAGAAGGATGTGATTGTTTGCTCCCAAGTAGATTTACAGTCTTGGGAACCCTCTAGGAGAGCTGTGATGGACTAGGCAGTGATGAGGTTATAGCCTGACAGTAATACTTAGTGGGAACATGGTTTAAGATGTAGTTTCTTCTCAAGGTGTGGGAGAGGTCTAGGTGAGTTGTGATTTTTGGTGATGATGCTCTTGACCACTAACAACACTTTTCCTTTCCAGGTCCCAACATTTGGCTAGAGTACGGCCAGTACTCAGTTGGTGGAATTGGTCAGAAAGGCGGCCTTGAAAAAGTGCGCTCCGTGTTTGAGCGGGCGCTCTCAACCGTGGGCTTACACATGACCAAAGGGCTTGCCATCTGGGAGGCTTACCGTGAATTCGAGAGTGCTATTGTGGAAGCCGCTCGGGTAAGTGCCGGGCCTTTGCCTGTGCTGCCTGCCTGCCTGCAGATAGTCAGGGCCGGCTGAAGGTCACACGATGCGTCACAGCTAACAGTTCAGAAGTTTGTTTTCTCTAGTCTCTTAACCACTGGACAATAAAAGAAAGAAATCAGAGCGCCATTACCAGAATAAAGAAGTATCAAGCTGCAACAAAAAAAAAAAAGAAAGAAATCAGTAATCTTTGCAAAGTACTAAAAGTGGGTTCTTTGACCTGAAAACAGGTGATTCTGCAATTTCTATTCTGAAATTTAAAAATAATTAAAGTTAGTTAAAAATATTAAGTTAGTTCCGTGTGACTTGTATATGTGACAGTATTTTGTTTAATAATTGTGAGAGGAACTTTGACCCTCTAATTTTGTGATTTTTTTTTTCCAGACTGATGTGTAGAATTTATTTAAAAAAATAAGCCATTTTTTATTGTGATTTTAACGAAAGTTTACAGAACACTTTCGTGTCCATTCATTCGTTATTGCACATTTTCCTCCCCTACCACCCCCTCACCCCCAGATTTATAGAATTTTATGGCAGTGCCTTTTCCCTGTTTGTGTGTGCTCGCTTACTGCTGGTACACTCTGACGCCCCTTGATGGTACAGTCCTCTCACTCACTCCTTGAGGATGCTCCTGTTCAGTGGACCGCAGCAGTGCTCCCAGTCACTTTGATCTTAGGGCATCACCACCCACCTTTTCTGCCTGACAGTTGTAGCTCCCTCCTGCCTGCCATGCTTCCTGCAGGGACTCTGCACGCTATTGTGTGGCCCTCTGCCTCTTCTCTTACTATTCTTGCCACTCTGCTTCCACTCAGTTTGTTCCTCCACTGGGAGGCTGCAGACTCACCCCACATTCCAGCTGCTTGGCTCACTCTCCATGGTAACAAAATAGTGGTAAGAAAATGCTCTGCGATCCCTACGGCACATTGTTCAAATGCACCAGCTGCTCCATGGGAGAAAGATGGGCAGTCTCTTGAGTGATTTACTGCCTCTGAAAACCCGCTGCAGAGTCACCTGTGGGTTAGTTCTGACTCAGCAGCACACAGCAACAACAGCGACACTGTCCTAGAATGTTCATCTTACCCCTTTTTTTGAATCTACGTGATGATTCTTTGTTTTTGTGATATTTCCCACCTTACTAAAGCCACTTGGCTGTTTCTTTTATTCTTTGCTTCCTCTCCAACTTAATTAGAGGTCAAGGTAGCATTTAATTTTGCACCTTGTATATCAGTTGATGTCGTCATCAGAGCTCATGTGTAAGGGGCCATATGCTTTCTGAACTGAAAATTCGTTGACAGTATTTTGAAGGCAGAAGAACCACAGTTTGTCATTTACTGCTAATTTACTTCTTTAGCCCTTAGCTGGCTTCCTTTACCCTTCTGACTGGGAACAAACCTTTGATTCACAGCTTGAGAAAGTCCACAGTCTCTTCCGGCGGCAACTCGCGATCCCTCTCTATGGTAAGAGAAACTGACATGTCATGGCTTGCAGAATGCATTGGGGCATCTCAGACCTTTCACTGCATCCCATCTGTGAAACAGGGAGGGCTGATGGTCTCAGCCTCGCTGGACACGAGAAAGTTATCTTGGATTGGGAGTGCTTGGGAGGGTTGTACAGTCAGGGTTAGGACCAAAATCCTTCCTCATTCCCACTTGACATCACTTTCCTACTTTAAGACCTTGTTGGAAATGGGGAGATTAGTAATCTGGGTGGAATAGGGAAGGTGATGCCCTCGATTCTTTAGGGAGAGTTTATTGAGTTACATTATTGAACCTTTCCTTTTTAGGAGTAACCTCTTTCATAAGAATGGGGTTTGGGGGAGTATACCATTCCTCCATAGGGGTTGCCTTACTTGGAAATGTTTGTGTCTGAGTCTCTTAGGGCTTGATAAAGGTTCTCCTTTCTAAGTGAATACACTTTGGCAAGCCAAGCCTTTGTGGCCCTGCAGCTGGGGGCTTGTGTAATGCTGGGAGGATTTTAAGAAGTGTTGGCACAACCATCTTATTACAAAGTAATGTGTATGCTCAAAACTGGACAGCTTCACATGGGCCAGATGTTTCTCTTTATACTCCATGGTTTATTATAAATTTATTTAATCAATTACAAAATGCCCAGTTGAACACTAGGTGATGTCAGAAAAGGCTGGATGGAATGGAGCTGGCTGGTAAATAGCATCTTAAAGGTCAATGTGTGGTAGCAGAATATAGTGATTAGAGCGTGTGTCCTAGCCGAGCCACCTGGGGTTGAATCCCTGCTCTGCCTTTAATGTAGACAGGTGACTTAATCTTCTTAGGAAGAACACAGGAAGCACTAGCCGAGTAGTGTCTTCATAGGTAGGGCTGCTTGCCACAGTGTTTGGTAACATACTTGGGCCAAGTCTGTGCTCAGCAGAAAAGCCCTGGATTTGATCCATAGGAGCTTCCCTGGCTGTAGATAGGGGAGGGGCCCAGTTCTCATGCCTAATAATGTGTTTGGGTCGCTAAAATCCCATGGCAAGACCCTTGGAGTTGAATCCCGTCTTTCACTAGATATGGAGGGCACATTTGCTGAGTATCAAGAATGGTCCGAAGAGCCAATACCGGAGTCGGTAATTCAGAACTACAACAAAGCGCTGCAGCAGTTGGAGAAATACAAGCCCTATGAAGAGGCACTGGTAAGTGTGAGCGCCTTTGATAGCTTCTCCCAGATCCGTAGAGTTCTTTGTAATTTGTTTTGTGGTGATTTGTGTAGAGTATATAAGTGTATGCGTACAGTTTGCGTGATAATAAAGTGAACATCCGTGTACTCACCACCCAGGTTAAGAACTAGAACCTTGCCAGTTCCTTAGAAGCTCCCATGTGCCCTTCCGATTGCCTCCTCCTCCCTCCCCCGAGAGGTAATCACTTTGCTGACTTTCATACTCCTCACACCCTTGCTTTGCTTCATAGTTTTATAAGCTCTAATTGTATCCTGAACGTGCCATTTAATTTCACTTAATTTGGAACTCTCATATAGAGGGACCATTCGTCATGTTTCAGTGTTTGACCATGGGCTCATTCAAGTGTTTTCTTTCCATGTGGTTTTGGGTTTCATGCACATCCCTGTATGTGTCTTCTAATGTTCCTGGCATTGGAGTGAAATCATTGGATTGTAGGTCCTGCTGAACTTCCTTCCAGCTTATTAGTTTCCACTCCCACTAGGAGTACCTGAGAGGTCCTCTTGGTTTTACCAGTCTTGGTTATTGCCATCCTTCTGTTTTTGTCAATCTGATTTGTTGAAATCGTGTCTCATTATTATTGTGTTGAAGTCCTGTCTCATTATTTTCATTTTGCATTTCCTTCATTACTGATGTGTAAAACTGCTTAAGGAAAGGTCTGTGGTTCAAATCCATCAGCTGCCCCGAGGGAGAAAGAGGTTCGGTCACCTCCCATAAAGATTGGCAGCTTTGGAAACCTGATGGAGGATCATGCCTGAGTTGGATTTATGATGATGTCTTTGGGTTTTTGGTTATTACTGATGGTGCTGATTATCTTTTCATGTCTCATTGACTACTTGCATTTTCTATTCAAGTCTTTGACCCATTTTTCTATAGCTTTGTCTTTTCTGGTAAATTCATGGGAGGAATTCATGCATATGAATCCCTATTTTTCTCAACTTTGTCACCCTCCCCACTCCCCATGCTTACCTTTTTGCTTTTTAAAATTGCGTCTTCTGCTTAACACTTCTTAGTATTAACGTAATTGCATTTGTTATGTTTTCTTGTTATGTTCTTGTTTAAGAAAGCTCATTAATGGGGTTGGCTCTGCTTCTCGAAGTTTTGTCGTTTTTGTCTTTCATACTCATCCTCCCCTGGGTTTGATTTTTGTGTGTGATGTGAGGCAGGGCCCACTTTGATTTTGTTAGAAAAACATGCTCCAGCACCACTTTTAGGAACCTATCCTCCCCTCACTGATGTGTAGCCCCCATGCCTGCCACAGATTAGCAGTCCACATACAGGGGTTCTCTGTCTGAGCTCTCTGTTCTATTCCACTGATTCTTAAAGTATGACCTTGGGTAGGACGAGTGCCCCTCACGTTAGGAGGGTCTTAGCTGCCTTTCAGTTCCCATCCAAGTACAGGCAGCTTTTCAAGTTCTTGATACACAAAAACAAAACTTAATTTTTGAGTTTTTCATTCAAATGGATCAATTTGGGTAAGAATTTCTATGTTTAAAACATTCAGAGTCTGGTGAGCTCTGGTGGCCTAGTGGCAAGAAGGTGTACTGCAATCCCAGAGGTGCACGGTTCAAATCCACCAGATGCTCTGCTGGAGAAGGAGGAACAATCTCCTCCTGTACCAGTCAGATCTGATTTGATGGTGTGTACACACACACACATGCACACACACACAAAATAATAAAAACAAAACAAAACAAAAAACAACAACCCAAAAAACAAACATTCAGAGTCTGCCAACCAATGAGCATTACTTAGGTCCCTTCTTTTAAAAAAACTTAGGTCTTCTTACCTTTCTGTATATTTTATAAATTTATTCAGTGTCTTAAATAACATTGTTAGATGGATTTCTAAGTAGTTTTTGATGCCATTTTAAAGGAGAACTTTTTAAAAAATCTTTTCTAGTTCCTGATATGTAAAATACATTGGGTTTTTTATGTTCAGTTTTTATCTGCTAAACTTGTTAAATTCTTATTTATTACTTATGGTTCTTTAGCATTTTCACGAGTCCTGGCATAGTAATTAAGCCCTCACCTGCTAACCTAAAGGTCAATGGTTTGAACCCATAAGTGGTTTAGGGGTAAGGAGTTGAACTGCCAAATCAAAGGCACCTGGATCAAGTCTACCAGCTGCTCTGCAGGAGAAAGATGGACAGTCTACTCCCGTGTGATTTACTCCCTCTGAAAACCCATTGCAGCATTAGCTAAGTCACTTCCGACTCTACAGTCCATAGCAATAGCCAAAACCTCCAGTGGCCTAGTATTAAGGGTCTGCGCTGCCAACCAATACATAGGCAGTTTGAATCCACCACCTGCTCTGTAGGAGTAAGGTGGGCTATCTCCTGTGTGATTTGCAGTCTCTTAGAACTCACTTGAGGGTCAGCTGTGAGTCAGTTATGATTCATGGCTGCTAGCAGCAGTCAGAAGAGGCCACGAAGATTTACAGTCTGGTAAGCCCTGACGGGTCATTCTCTTCTGACCTGTAAGGATTACTTTGAGTCAGAATTTGACTTCATCATGTTATCATTGGATTCAGTGTCCTGATGTTTTTAGGGTTTTCTGTGTTGACAGTAATAGCATTTCCCCCCTTCTTAGGATGCTCTGCATACCAGACATCAGATTTACATCTTTTCATATTTTTTTTTCCTTTTTGTTTGACCCATAGGCATCATTCATACGGTATTATGCGGTCCCAATTTGTTTATAACTGTGCATTTTTGGCCTTCGCTCTTCATTCCTTTCTGTGTCGTGGATCTTTGATCTGGAGTCACTTTTCTTTTGCTTGAACTCTTCTGTTGGTGATTTCTGCTCACAGTCTGTCTCAGTTTGTTTGTTTGAAGGGGTCTTTAATTTGCTATCATTCTTGAAAGTTGTTTCTGTACTATGTACAATTGAGGGCTGCTAGTTATTTTTCCTCAGCAGTTGTCTAGATTTCTGGGTTCTGGCTTCATTATTGCTGTTGTAAAGCCAGCCAATTCTTGGTTCTTTGAAGGTGATCATTGCTTTAACTCTGACTGGTTTTTAAGATCTCTTTAGTATGATCTGGTGTCTTGCAATGTTAGTACAAGAGGCCAAGGTGAGAATGTCTTACTTTTTGTCCTACTTTAGATTTGCTGGGCTTCTGAGTTCTTTTTTTTTTTCCTTTTGTAGTAAGAGCACATTTATTGACCTTTATCAAAGTTCTTAGTGTTTCTGGAGGCATGTTGTTTAGGAAGTGGATGTGACTCCTGCTTCCAAACCAATGTTGATAGCTATAGAAAAGCTTCAGGCCTTTTGTTCATAGGGTCGTTATGAGTCAACTCAAAGGCATTCAACAGTGCAACAACAGTAAGAGCACATAGACTTTGTAGAGTCTGATCAGCTTAAGTTGAATTCTGCCTCTGCTGCTAAACTGTCTTTCTGACTTGGGCTGGAAATCTTTGAAAACATTGGTGAGAATCCACCAGCCTGCTCTGCAGGAAGAGAATGGGCAGTCTCTTCCATTGCTGTTTACTGCCTCTGACAGCACTCTGGAGGGTCAGCTGTGGGTGGATTCTGACTCGAGGGCACACAGCATCCACTTACCCTCCTTTGTGTCTCGGTTCCCTCACATATGGGCTGAGGATAGTAATTATTCCTGCCTCACTGGAGTGTATAAAATTCTTAACGTATGTTGAGCCACTAAAAGCTGCCTCCGGAGCTTTGCTTACTGTCCACCTTCAGATTTTGTCTTTAGTATTTCTTGTCTCTTTGTAAGTTTATTGATGATTTTTCTAGTTAAAGTGCTTTTTATGGCTAATCCAGCTGTTAGATAGATTTTTTTTTAAGGAAATGTTTCACTTTATTGATATTTTAAAGAAATGCAAGTAAGGAATGCTGTGAATTAAGCAATGGACTCTTCCTCTTTAGTTTTTTTTTTTAATTTAGGTTGTTTATTTTTCATTTCAGTGAACATCTACAGAGATTTTGGGATTCCATTCATTCATTGTTGCACCCTTCTCCCCGCACCCCTCCCCCCTTTTTATTGGCACTGTTGGACTGAGGAGTGACTAATGTGCCATTGTCACTGGAGATGAAAGCTCTGAAATGGTGTCTTTTTGTGCACAGAGACCACCTTCTTTTTCTTAAAAAAATACATGTTTTTAGTGATGTTTACACAGCAGTTTGGGATCTCATTGAATAGTTTCTGCACAAGTTGTTGAATGACAATTGTTTGCATTCTTCACGAAGCCTGACCAGGCTCAGTATTTATGCTCAGGTTTCATCAGTCATGTTTCCCTGTCCCAGACACCCTCAGTCCTAAGGTAATTGCTTCTCATTTGCTTTCTCACAGATGGCTCCTTCTTTTGTGCACCAAGCTGTTACTTAGCTAGAAAGCTGACCTGAGGGGCCAGGGCCAGTTTCACTTCAAAGTTTGAAGAGTATCTCAGGGTGGGAGTCCTGAGTCTTGTAGTCTCAGCTGGTTCAGTGAGTCTTTTCTTTTTTTTTTTGAAAGGGCTTTCTTCCATGTTTTGTTGAGGTCCATCCGTGGAGGTTCTGGTGAGAGCAGTTGGTCGGTGAAGCAGGGCACCATCTAGTTCTTCTGGTCTCGGGCTTGAGGAGGCTGTAATCTTTGTAGACCGTAGGTCCTGTTGCCTAGTTTCTGGGAGCCTTTGGTTCTGTTCCCCCTTTTGCTCTGATGAGTCAAGACCAGTAGTTGTGTCTTAGGGCCTTTTTGTCTGCTGGCTCACCAGCACTGGCTCCCTCTTTCCCTCTTGTAAGTGATTTGTACACACTTTTACAAAACCTCCTTGATGAAACCCTTTGATCACTGGGATTTAGGCCTTAGAGAATGGATGAGGAGAAAGCATGTTGTCTGAGGGTTTTTGTTTACTAAGCCTGAGACTGTGTGTTTAGATATGAGAAGGTTAATAAGCACGACTTCCCCCATCTCCTCCATGCGCCTCTGCACACTTGAGCCGTGGTGGTGGTGTGAGGAGGAGGGACCTGAAACATCCCGGGCTCTGGGGTAGCAGCTTGGTTTCATTCATTCTCCTCAAGTTGGCCCAGATGGTGATTGTTTCAGAAGGCTGCTTAACACCACTTCTTGACCAAGGTGATTCTCTTACTTTGGTTCTGGATTGATGGGGCTTTTAAGTTCACTGTGGTCCAGGAGTTGATTCCGCAAAGGATCTGGAAGCTTTAGAGAGATGTGCCATGAAGAGGCGCTGTGGACGAAACAAGCTTCCTGTCCTGCTCACCCTCTCTGGATCTTGTGGAGATGTTCAGAGAAGGATTTTTCTCTTGATGTAGCCAGTCTCGCTAAAATTGCACTTATTTAAAGCCATTTTGTGCTATACCAGGTGACATAAAGTGACCCATTTCAACATCGGGGTCCGTTTCCTATACTCCAGCTGCAGGCAGAGGCACCGAGGCTGGCGGAGTATCAAGCGTACATCGATTTTGAGATGAAAGTTGGCGATCCGGCTCGCATTCAGCTGATCTTTGAACGTGCGTTGGTGGAAAATTGCCTTGTCCCTGACTTGTGGATCCGCTATAGTCAGTACCTAGTAAGCTCATTTAATCTTCTTTCTTTCGTTTTTATTGTTCTAAACAGTTTAGAATCTGTTTAAAGACAGTAAGAGGATAGGCCTTCCCTCTCTGCCCTGTCTTCCTTTTCTGTGCCCCCGCCCCCCATGGTTGAAGTTACTACTTTAAACTGGAGAAAAGTTGACCAGTGGTCTTTTTAGTGAGGACTTAAAACAGTTGTTTACTGTTTCCTTGACACAATTGTGTGGAAAAATTTCAAAAACACAGAATAAGCAGGCAGTGTCATGAAATGAATCCTCGTGGCTATCACTTGGCATTAGAGATTTTTAACGCATAACTAATCTGATTTCACTTTTAATTGTCACCCGTGTCCCTTCCTATAATATCTTCCCCCCCCTTCCTGCATTATCTTGAAGCAAATCCAGAAATCACATTGAATCAAGAAACAGCCTGCCAAAGGCTTTCTGTTCTGCTTGGCTGATGCCCCCTGTGACTGTTTTAATTTAGAGGGTCCCTTTCCACATCTTACCTCTTCCTTGCCCCATTTGCAGTCTGTTTGTTGGTGAAGCCTTGTCACAAGAGATAGTCTTAAGGAAAATCTTTTTCCCAGTTGATTGTGCTGGTGATGGAACAGTCTTAACATAATTTTCTCCCCTGATCCTGGAACTCTTCCTCATAGGATCGGCAACTGAAGGTCAAGGACTTAGTTTTATCTGTACACAGTCGAGCCGTGAGGAACTGTCCCTGGACAGTCGCCCTGTGGAGTCGCTACCTCCTGGCCTTGGAGAGATATGAAGTCGATCAGCAGATGATATCAGGTGCGGATGCTTTGGTGGAAGGGCTTTATGACTTAAGTTAGGAATCTAGAACCTCAGTGAAGTTACGATGTCATAATTGCTCAGAGTGTTTATTTGGGTGGTGAATAAAAAGGCTTTAAGTGGGAGATGAGAGGCGCTCTGCTGGCTTAGGAGTAAGGAGCTGTACTGTCAGCCCAAAGGCAGTTCGAATCCACTAGTTGCTCTGCAGTAGAAAGGCAGTCTTCCTCCCATGTGGTTTACTGCCTCTGAAAACCTGCCGGAAGGTCACCTGTGAGTCACTTCTGACTCAATGCTACACAGCAACAATTGGGAGTTAAATGAATGGGTTGGAATTTTGGCTTCTCAGCTTTTTAATATGGTGAGTGCCAAGAGGTTATGGACATTTTTCCCAAGCTAAACTGACCCTGGGGCTGTAACTGCAGGGCTTACTGTACAGAGTCCTTTCCAGAATAGTATGTGCATTCTTCTCTAGCTTGTGTGAATGGCTGGCGTCAGCTTCCTGCACTCTGGCATTGTTACATTTTGTTTTTAAAAGCCGTGTGGAGTTTTTCAGTTGGTGGTGGGTTTTATTATGGCTTTGATAACTGTACATTGGCCGCTTTGTGAACTGGCAGCACATGTCAATTTTTCTTTGACTCTAGTGACCTTCGAGAAAGCTCTGAGCGCTGGCTTCATTCAGGCCACTGATTATGTGGAGATTTGGCAGACGTACCTGGATTACCTGCGGAGAAGGGTTGATTTCCAGCAAGGTACTTGAGTTCACCTGCTTCCCTTCAGCCCTGTGTCCCACCTTGGTGTGCAGAGCTGGGCCCACGATGGTCTTGCACAGTCCCATGTCCCCTCAGCCTGGGAAGCCATGTTCCTGCTCTGGTCCATGCACTCCTGTGCAGGCCTGTGTCATTGTGCTTCCTGTTCTTCTCTGGTGGTGAGAGAAGGGGCTGGGAGTTGGATTGCTGTGTACCCAGCATGAGACTGTCACAGACCTTTTGTGCCCTTTCTGACAGACTCCAGTAAAGAGCTGGAAGAGCTGCGGTCCACGTTCACCCGTGCTTTGGATTACCTGAAGCAGGAGGTGGAAGAACGTAAGTATGACTCCTGAGCACCAGCTGTTTCCTCTTGGCTGGTTTGCCTTTCCTGTCAAAGACTTTTTGTCTCTAAATCTTCTTCCTGTTTTGACTGATTGTGTTCTTCGAAGGTTTCAACGAGAGTGGAGACCCGAGCTGCGTGATCATGCAGAACTGGGCTAGGATTGAGGTGAGTGTTCTTGACAGTTCTGCAAGTTACATCTGCCTTTGAAGAATCTTTGGCCAACAACTTGATTAAAATTCAGTGAGAATCCCAGGTGTAGAGGTTAAGGCTCGGCAGGGATTTTTGTGCTCTTTAGCTTGAACATGTTTCTTATGTATTAGTGAAGGTGTTAGCTCCCAGGTGGAATCTTTTGACATGTTTGAATGACAGGTAGACCTGTCTACTTGTCCCTTACTCATAAGAGCACATTTATTAAGAGTCTCTTATTTGCAGGCACTTAACCAGCTGGTAACAGAGTTAGATAGAATCCCTGCACCAGGGAGACTTTATCTAGAAAACACACTTTGACAAGTAATTAGAAATATAATGTGGTGACGGGCCAGAAGAACCAAAATGAGTAAGACATGGAGCCTTTCCATGATCAGCTGATAGAATTGGAAAATTCTCATCCTCTTTTGTTCTGAGGGGAAGTTGAAGAATCACTGCTGTCTGGTTTGTTTTTTTCTTTTTTTGGGGGGCGGTATTTAAAAGGTTAGAATCCAGATTAATAGCAGTCAAGACAGCTTCTGAAATGTGCATGCAGGTACTTCAGTCTCGAGGCTCTAAGTATTCCCAAGCTCTCAGTACTGCCAGTATTGGCTTTCCCACCAATTGATCAACACAAAAGTCTCAGTCCTACCAGTATGGGCTCTTCTCCACGCCCAAGGTCTCATCTCACATCATGTCTCCTCCAGGTTGGGGCGGGGGTGTCCCTTTCCTCTTCTGGAGGGGGAAGATTCCTTCTGCTATGTCTTTTTTGCTGTTTTGTACCATTGAGTAAGAACCAGTTCATAGTTGACCCTCCGGTGGGTTTTCTTAGGCAGTAAATAGCTTCTGTAAGGGTGGAGATTGCCCATTCTTTTCCCACAAAACAGCTGGTGGACTTGAGCTGCATGCTTTTGCGTTGGCAGCTCAACCATTAGGCTTACCATTAGGCCACCAGAGCTCCAAATTATCAGGTCGTGGTGCATTTATCAGAGGACTGCTGTCCTCTGCATCATATAGATTCATGTGTCAAATAGAATGTATTTTAAGCATGAGGAAACTGAGGCTCAAAGAAGTTAAGTGACTTGCCCAGGGTCACTTAGCTAGTAAGAGCCAGAACTAGCTTTTGATCACAGGTCAGTCCCTACCCAAAACCCCAAACCCTGTTACTGTTATGTTGATCATTCTTATGTTGTCCTTTAATTGAGACACTTGTGGTTAAATTTGATTAAAATAAAAAACAAGTAAAGATCCAGCACTGTTTAGTGCTTTAGGCTCCCAGCCTTTGTTCTTGGGTCACCAGCAGACAGTGGTCACTATAGAAAGGCTTTAGGAGGTGTAGGGAACAGTCAGGGACTTTTGTAACTAAGAGTTATGGGGAATATTTTTAAAATCTCTTTTGCCGTGCATGTTGGTGTCTTAAGTTGCAGACCTCTTCCTGACAGGTTGCTCATTCATTATAGGCTCGACTATGCAATAACATACAGAAAGCCCGGGAACTCTGGGACAGCATCATGACCAAAGGAAACGCCAAGTATGCCAACATGTGGCTCGAGTATTACAACCTGGAAAGGTAATTTCCCTGGGAGTGGAAGTTGCTGGTAGGTGCCCTTGGGTGGGCTGCATGCAGCTCAGCCCTGTGTCCATCAGGATGAAACCCTCTGTGGCTCTGCGTGCCAGGTGGTGCTTTATCTCGTTAGTCCTGCCTTGCTCCCTGCCAGCCGATATGTACGCCACTGAACTGTCTGCCTCTTGATTTATTGGCGGGGTTTCTGGTGGGCAGAGCTTGAGAACCACGTTTTGTGCCTGGTGTTCTTTAAGACCTCTAGTGGCTTAGTCAGACAGGAGTTGGGCTGTTGACTCCAAAGGCCATGCCTCTCTGGTGTCTGATCCACCACTGATGCTGAGGGAGAAAGATGATCACTCACCTTCCGTGAGATTTCAAGCCTCCAAAACCCAGTGGCTGGACAACAGTGAGCCCTGAGGAGGAAGAGGGCTCTTAGGGCCGTGAATTTATTTTACTCTGCTTGTTTTGTTTCTTTTGCACATAAATGTCTAATGTTTCTTACTAAAATTATTCTTGCTTGTGTATAGAAAGGAGCCCTGGTGGTTTCATGTGTTATGTATTGGGCTGCTCTCTAGAAAGTCAGTGGTGTGACTCCTCCAGCTGCTCCGTGGAAGAAAGATAGGCAGTTTTCTACCCAACAGATAAAACAGCCTTGGCAACCTGAATCAACTTGATGGCAGTGCATTTGGGTTTCTTGGTATCAGTAGAAAGCAAAGTCGTCAGTAGGAAGCTTTCAGATTCACACTGGCAGATAGCAGTTTTCCAGAATTTGATTTTTTACTTGAAAGATTTTGTTTTCATCATTAGCAATAAATACTGTAATTGGGCTTTTTTTTTAAAACTCTCTTACTCAGATTGTTCTTTTTCCATAAAACATGCCAGATTCCTATATCTGAATAACTCTTTCTTCTCAGCAGTCAGTTCTTTCAAGTAAAACAGTGTTCATGGAAAAAGCAATCTGTCCAGCAGACAGCTTGGGAGGGCAGCTCAGAGGGTACACTCCTTTGGTGTGTGGCAGGAGTGCCTTGTCGGTCTGTTCTGGTTTTGTCTCAGAAGGTCAGAAAGATGCCCCATGCCTCCACCTGTGGTTTCACACCATCAGCGCTAACATCAGCTCAGTTGAAAGGGCAGAAATGGTCTAGTGGTGGGAGGAGGGTCGTTAGACCTTGCAGACCTCCTGAAAGGGCTTCCGACGCCCCCAGGCCTACATGAATCTTACCTTGAGAACCGCTGCTCCGAAGTTTTTCTAATTATCCTAATTGTATTTACAAATATTTACCATAATATTTAAACAGAAATAAAGGAAGATGGGCAGTCTCCTCCCTTGCATTTTCCAGCCTCTGAAAACCGGCTGGTGGTTCCTCTGGGAGCTGGTCTGACTTGGCAGCCGTGACAGCAGCGCTGTTGTTTGGTTTCTTTGATTAGCAGTGCATCCTGTGCCGTGACAGAAAGATTGAACTCTGGGCAGGATATTCACCATTCTAGAGTTTCTCCAGGGACTTTATAAAAATACAGAGATTTGCTGGAAATCTCCTCACCCCTGTGTTGCGTATTGAGTTCGAGCTAACTCAGGGCTGACCCTTCAGAGGTTCTGAATTACACAGGAGGAGATTGCTCATCTTTCTTCTGTGGTGCAGCTGGTGGATTTGAACCTTTTGCCTTTGGGTTTGCAGCATAGCTGCTTACCACTAGGTCACCAGAGTGTCTCGATTAAAGTCTCTTGTAGAAAAAGGAGAAAACATTGACAGTGGTCGTTGAGTGAATAGCTAGCTATAAATGTTCCAGAAGCTACAGTCTCTAGCCTCATCAGAGTGCTCAGGTCGCTGGCACTGCCCAGAGCAAGAAGCCCTCCCTCCTCTGGAGCCTTAGTGTCAACAGCTGTCGTTCTCTGTTCTAGGGCACATGGTGACACACAGCATTGCCGGAAGGCTCTGCACCGGGCCGTGCAGTGCACCAGTGACTACCCTGAACATGTCTGTGAAGTGCTGCTCACCATGGAGAGGACGGAAGGTGGGCCCTCTGGCTTTGCTCTGGGTCTGTGGTCAGAGCCCTCTGCTCTTGGGACTGCAGTCAGAGCATCTGGCTTCTGTCTAGGCTGTCATAGTGTACTGTTTCAGGCTTCAGCCCCTCAGAGGTGCTTTCTGCTCAGATTGCCACGCTTGCACCTCTTCGCAGATCTCCAAGTACAAGCAGGAGCCCAGGAGGGAGTTTGCGTGCATGCTTTCTCATAATCCTCTGTAATGAGGGGTTGTCCTGTGCCTCTAGGGTGTTTAGTAACCTCCCTGTCACACCACCCTCCAGCGTTCAGATGAGCAGTCATCCTGCCGAGAGCCCCTGATCTAGTCCAGTGTCAAGCACGTGCATGCAGGCAACCAGCATAAATGGCGGTGGGCTTCCCTGGTTGCGACCTTTGACATCAGGAGATGTGTGCATCTATCTGTGGGTGTTGCTTTTCATTGTTGTTATGCATGTCTCAGAACTAGAAACAAAACCATCGAGACAACAGCAAATACCATTTAGGATTTTAAGGCAGGACAGTCATTTCTGCACTCTTAAAAATCCTCAGTCTTAATGTAGGTTCCCTTTTCCCCGTGTTCATTAGAATGTTTTCAAAATCTTTGCCATTGAAAGCCCATAGTAGTTGACATTCTGATTGTAAGTCTCTTTACTGAAGAAGAGATGGTTTAAACAAATCTTGAAGGACTATTTCTAAATCTCAAACCTATGTATGCTGGTTACCATTTTCTTAATGTACAAGTGCACACTCAACTTCTTTTTTGCTTATGGAGAGATTCCTTGCTCACTGAGGAAATTGATGTTTTATGTTATATCCTTCAAATTCTTGAGTGATGAGTTCCTTCTGCTCCTGTAAAGGCACTTTAGAAGATTGGGATGTAGCCGTTCAGAAAACCGAAACCCGACTAGCCCGTGTTAATGAGCAGAGACTAAAGGTAATGATGGTGTTTATGTGAAATCTTTGGAACTTTTGTCTTTGGTATGAAAATGTCCTGTCAACACCCTTTAGGATAGAGAAGTGTCTTAAAGTATTAACTATGGAATATTTGAGTGAATATCTAAACCCACTGCATGTCATCTTATTACATAACTTTTAAACTTTAGCCCCAGTAAATATTCTGAATGTAACGGAGGCAGTTTTGGGATAAGTATTTACTGGAATTGATTAAAAAGAATGAAAGATGAATATCCCAGAATGACTTAAGGCCCCAGTGGCACAGATACCTTCTTTTAGTGAGGATGTGGATGATACTGTTAAAAGGACTATGGGCTTGAGATACAGAGTTAGAAGAAGCCCAGTCGGTCCGGCAGGGAAACATTCTCCATGTATCCTCGTCTTTGTCATGGTCACTGTTTTCCCTTGCTGAACTTCTAAGGAGCTCTAGTGACGCTGTGAGTGGTTAAATTACTCAGCCACTTACCGAAAGGTTGGTGGTTTGAACTCACGAGTAGCCCCCACAGGAGAAAGTTGGGGCAGCCTACTTCTATAAAGACGACCACCTTGGAAACCCCATGGGGTGGTCCGCATGGTTGCTCTGAGGTCAGGTGCAGTGGCCGGTAGTGGGTTGGAGGATTTCACTGCCGCGCCCCTCTCGTCTCATTACCAGTCCGTTCATGGTGTCAGCGCCTAGTCACGTGTCACTGTCTTCATTGTATAGGCTGCGGAGAAGGAGGCAGTGCTGGTCCAACAGGAGGAGGAGAGGGCGGAACAGCGGAAACGGGTCCGGGCTGAGAAGAAAGCACTGAAAAAGAAGAAAAAGATGCAAGGTGGGGACAACCACAGAGCCGACGAGGACGATGAGAAGGAGTGGGGTGATGATGAGGAAGGTAATGCTTTCTAGAATTTTCTTTGGAAACTTCTCAGACTTGGAACTTGCACCAGCAGGGCAGCAAAGAGCTTGTTTGCTTCTGGAGGTTGGGTGGTGGCAGGCCAGAGCGAGGCACAGGCTCTGTCCCCCTTCTGGCAAAAGACAGTATTCTGCAAAACCACATACAACCATTGAGAGCAGGATAGGAGCACTGATGAATCACCGCCATCGGCCCCTCAGCCCAGTCAGGGCTGGCTGTGTGTCCTTTGGAGCAGCAGGGTCCAGTTTAGGTTCACACATTACTCTGCTGTCCAGTTCTGCTGAGTCTTCAGTCTGATTCTCAGACTCTGATTCGTCCTCAGTCTCTGATTCTCCTGAACTTGATGCTTGCTATGTGATAAAAACCTCAGCCTGGCTTGCCTGCCATCTTCTCGGGCTCTTTGACAGCAGTGGCCTAGGATTGTGCTGTGTCTCTCTCATTGGAACCTAGGGAGTTGATTTCTATTGGTCCATCACTGCCCTTCTGAGCGGGTCAGGCGTATGTGATCCTGTGACCTCAGTGTCAGGGAATTGGGGACATGAGGCCGAAAGACACAGTGGTGGGCAGTTCGCTGGGAAAGACTTTTTGGAGAAAGTCATGCAGGTACCTGGGGGAGGATAGGGAGTGATTGTCAGGTGGCAAAGGAAGGCAGGATAAATGCAGCAGAGAGGAGCGCCGCCAAGGCCTGCAGACCCCAACAGCTGGATGTTTTTGTGGGTGGCGGGTAACTGATTTGCACTCAGTGCTAGTGTGCAAGTAGACAAGTGAGCAGGCCCAGCTTCATGGACCCACTCCAGGAAGTGCTTAATTGCGAACAAGAGATGTAGACTTTACTGGGAGCTTTGTAGGGAATGTGACTGAAAAGGTAGTGGGAATTGCTGGTTGGGGTTAGAATGTTCATCTTTCTTGAATGAGACAAACAATATTGAGAGCTATTCAGACCATGTTGGTCCTCTGCACTGCTCCTCAGAGTTGCCTGTGGAGCACACGCATGCTAATAACGTTGGACTCGTTGGGTTCTATCCCCTACTTGTTTTCTGAGGCTTTCCAGGAGAGGGTTCTGGAAGTTGCTGTCTGAAGTTAGATATTGATAGATTTAAAGAATGGGTGGTGGGGAGTTAGGACCTCACTTCCACACAGTTGAGTCCTTTGACACGTTTATTTGGAGTCAGAAAGTTGTGGGGGTAGGCCTGCCGGTCCACAGAGGACTTGGGTGGAGGGCCTGGCCCTCAGCATCAGGCCTGAGGAATGTGACTGTGAGGGATCAGAACTTTATAGAGGGAAGAACAGGCTTACTTAATACATATATTTACTGACTCACTGACAGGAAGGAACAACTAATTGTTAATACTTTTGTTTTGAAAATGTGCAGAGCAGCCTTCCAAACGCAGGCGGGTGGAGAACAGCATCGCTGTAGCCAACGAAGCCCAGGGCGTGGGCCTGGAAGCAGAGCTTGCCGGGAAGAGAGCGCCTGTGGATGTCGACCCCCCTTCTAAGCAGAAGGAAAAGGCCGCGTCCCTCAAGAGGGACCTGGCTAAGGTGCCCCATGACAGCCAGAAGGACAGCATCACGGTCTTTGTCAGCAATCTGCCCTATAGCCTCAAGGAGCCAGATTTGAACCTCAGGCCTCTCTTTGAGACCTGTGGCGAGGTGGCCCAGATCCGCCCCATCTTTACCAACCGAGGGGACTTCCGGGGTTACTGCTATGTGGAGTTTAAAGATGAGAAGTCAGCCCTGAAGGCCTTGGAGTTGGACCGTAAAAGTGTGGAGGGGAGGCCAATGTTTGTCTCTCCCTGTGTGGATAAGAGCAAAAATCCCGATTTT